TGCCAATGCCTTTATCTTCTATGGTCTTATCGAACATATATCCCGAGTATACAGAGAAGACCAGGCTACTAGTAACATAGCAAATTGCCGGACGAATTTACGTTTACCCGTTTTGCGTTCGTACTCGAGATTCACTGCCGGCTAGTCGGCTGGTCAGGCAGTACGCAGTTGCAGTTGTGCTTGGACTGGTCGGTCATGACAGACTAGGAATACGACGCGAGGAGTGCCGAGTAGTTATCATTTTCATTTTAAGTGTTTACCTTCACCTAAGGTAACATTTAAAGTGAAAATATTTAAATATTTATTATTTGAGTGTGTTTACAAGCCAAAACTAAAAATAAATAAATTCTCTAAACCCCCCCCCAAAAAAAAAATATTACTCTAAATAAGAAAAAGGTATAACAAGTGTTCAAAAAGACCATCTTCTTGTGCTAGACAGAAGCCTAGGCGGTCGTAAAATCCCCGTCTGACATTGGCTAACATATTAGGGCTAATAGTTTGGAAAGCCTCTCGTATTTTTACTTGAAGCTCATCCCTCATCCAGGTTAATAGCCCTATTATGACCATACACTTTGGATTTTACATAACCCCACAAAAATAAGTCATTGGGAGAAGAATCTACGATCTGATCTAGCGGGGCACAAAATAGTTCCATATCCACTAATTAAGCGGTTGGGAAAAGTATTGATCAAATATTCTTGAACAATACGGGCATTGTGGGCAGGACAACCACCTCAGCAATTTGATTACTTGAAAACGTGGGATTTTGATCCGCGGTAGCATAAATGAACACTTGCTTTAACTCCTGTTCTTCATTAATCAACACATCAGGCTTTTTGTGTTTTTGTGGGAACAAGCACTCATGTGTTTCAAAATTATTAATAACTCTTGATACAATAGGTAAAGATGGAATTGGCCTGTTTACAAAAGTTTGTGGAAAAATTGTTTGTATATTCCGATAAGACCTGTTTTGGAAATACTATTTTACAATTTGAATTTTCTCACGAACTTCGTAAACATCCATTATTTTACTTAAAAAATAAATTTTACGCGAGAATCTATGTATTCGTTTAGACTATTAAAACACGAATAAATACAAATTCTGAAACATTCTTATCACATATCTACCTATTTTTATTTTATCGCATTTTTTCGCCTGCTTTTTATCCGGTGGACGGGTATACGCTAATTCGTCCGGTTCTGCCTATGTTACTACTACGGTGGTCCGGTCTGTATATTAAAAAATAAGGGAGACAGTACACATCCCTGATGAACTCGTTGTACTGGTATATCGTCTGTTTCGTCTTGTCCTAACCTTAGTGTATGCTGTCTGATTCCAATATAGTGTTTTTGAGAATTGGATATCGTTCTTGTCCAGACTTTTTTCTTGCAAGATGTTAAACAGCACTGTGTGTTCTACTTTATCAAAGGCCCTTTTGTAGTCGATGAAACCATTTAGTCCTTATTACTACTCTATCTATCGCAAATAATTTTAATAATATTTTCTTGAGTAGCTTTTCCAAAATTTCAGTTAATAATTCAGTTTATTCTCTAATTTTCTTAATCATACATAATCTAGACACAACCCATAAAAACATACTGAAATTACGTCTGCGAAAACTAAGATACCTGGAAAATTATTCCAGCAGCATATAATAACCGGTTTACTGGGGATAATTTCGTCCGGAGTAAAGTCCACGAGAGGAAGTTCAACATACTTCCGCCAGCACATATCCCGACTAACCGTCTCCAGCCCATTAAGGAACATTATTAGTGTCGCTTATAATTCATTTAACGCCAACCTGGATCGACGAAACGACTCCAGAGTTTCCCTAATTTGTTTCACCTAGTTTCCAGACGACTGCGACGATGACAATTTTCGTAGTTATCGTCAGACTTGTGGTTGGCCTGCAGCGAGTGGGAAATAATATTTTCATTATTGAGTTGGCACTACTGGCGACAGTAGCGGATCGAGAGTGATGTAAGCAATGACTAAAGAATACAAGGACATGTAACGGCCTGCAGCAGAAATTGTGCCCTTAGACGCCATTTTTTTGGATGCAACGAATGAGTCATCAGCGACAATTTCAGCGATTTTTAATAGTTGGTTGTGTGTAGTGAACTTTGTATAAACTTTATTATAATGGCAATTTGTTCAGCTTTCAAGTGTAAAAGGCGCAATGATACCCATACAGCTACGGTACGTACTATGTACGTACCTCGTACGTAATGTTGGGACGAACGTCAGGTCCCTGGTACGTACAAGTACGTACAGGTACGTACTATGTACGTACTAGGGCCGTAAATTTTTCAACGCTATGTACGTCCCTGGTACATCCCTGGGATGTGGTAAAGTACATTCCAGGTACGTACATTTTATGTTTTGTTCCGGACCAAAACTGGATGTAAAATGATCGAAAGTATACAAAATGTACGTCCATAGTACGTACAATGTACGTACTATGGACGTACATTTTTCAACGCTTTGTACGTCCTTGGGATGTGGTAAAGTACGTACTATGTACGTCGCCTGTACGTACATTCCAGCTACGTACATTTTATGTTTTGTTCCGGACCAAAACTGGATGTAAAATGATCGAAAGTACGTACAATGTACGTACTATGGACATACAATGTACGTACTATGGACGTACATTTTTCAACGACGTATACGACCTAGGAATTTAATTAGAAATAATTCACTGGAAGTCAGCTTAAAATATTTATTAATATAAAAACTCAGGTACAGGGTCATCCCTTATGTCTTGATACACCCGTGAGGCTTCGGTCCGGCAACTACACCCTTAGCGCACTCTGTCTTTTATTGGATGTTGATAGATATTTTATTTTTTTATTCTCGAACTGCTTCTAACTAAAAAATACAAAAAGAAAACTAAGTATTCAAATATCTAATTCTTGCCTCTGTTTTGAAAAAATTGAATGAGCCGATTCTCAATCATTCGAGGTTGGGACTGTGCTAGGTGAAATAGTCACATTAGATGTGGCAGTGTCATGTAATTCATCTGATGATTCCCAACCTTGAGATATACAACATAAGTTATCTCGAGGGTTATCTGTTTCAGTTTCGCTATTGATAAGATGTGGCAGAGAATCTTCAGACTGTAAATCAAGAACTGAAACATCTGATGTGCTATGTTGATCATTACAAGATTGAAGGAAAGATGCCTGATTAAATGAAGCAGGTATTTTGGCTGGCTATGTTAAAAAAAATATGTGCCACGGCACTGTTTGGAAGAATGGCCACAGTTTGGTCTCGGGTGCTATTTGTTCTTGTATTCTTTAGTCATTGGACGTAAGAGAGTGGCGCCACCTACATCTGTTTTAATTGTTTTGAAGAGTAATATTGATTGTGAAGAAATATGAAGATGCGCAACCTTATGAGCGATTTCGTGGCACAAAACCTGTTCGAGATCTAGCTGGCGTTACCGTCAACCTGTCCGAGAATTCCTAGATTTAGTTCAGCTCTTCGCCGCTACGCGCTGATAAGCAGTTTACAGCGCAGCGGAAAAAGAATACTGTGCCGTAGTTCTGTTTTCAGTTGACAGAGTGAGTGGTTGCCGGAGTCAGTGTTGCCAGAACTACTGATTAATCCGTAGATTTACGGATTTTGGGTACAGTACGTTAATAATATGGATTTTCTATCATTAAAAAATTCATTTAATATTATATTATTAAACAAAGAACGGCATCAGAGTTGGCTTGGAAATGAAGATCGCTGTTATTTCTTATGTAAAATATTACGGCAAATGACAATAATCGTCATTTCGAAGCCAACTAAACGACTTTTTTCGATCATACGACATATTTCGTACCTATAAAAGAATTTTAATTTTTGTTGTTTATTCTATGTTTAACACGAATACATTTTCAATACATAAACGCGGATTTTTCATCCAAAGATATTTTCGCCAAACGTATTACAGATATTACACATTTTAACATGGCAACACTGTCACTTTGAGTTCCACACCGTCTTCGGTATGCTTCCGCTGGCCGAATTAGAGAAAATAAGCGTTTTATGCGTTGATTGCAGAACGATTGGTGTCTCCACCGTACACCACTTGAGACGTAAGGGGAAATCAAATTAGCCTTTGTCACAAATTCACCCATTAGGTTTCGTATCTTCCCAATTCTTTCAATCAATGGTAATTTTTTTTTCGTCCATACCTGTATAAAACTACTTAGTGAAAAAATATACTTTTCCGTCATTTTTTGCGTAAAAAAATATCTCATGGTAACCGTACGTAGGTATGAGTAACCGTTCTCAAGATATTTAGAATGGAAATGGTCAATACATGTCAATATTGACAAAAAATAAACATGTTGAGTAGATAGTTATTTGACTGAAATTATTTTTTTAAATTAATCATAATTTTTTTTTCGAAAAAATTATAACTATAATTACTAGTAGCGATTTTTACCAAGAGAACTTTTTTAAGTAAAAAACGGCGTAAATATTAAGTATTTTTTACTCAGTAGTTTTACACAGGTATGGACGAAAAGTTATTACTCTTCAAACCAGTTAAAAATATGTATACAGGGTCCTCCACAAGCAGAAGTCATATTAGCATCTAAATCAAATTTCTCATGTCGAAAAACTCAATTTTCACCCAAATATTGACGTTACTTCAGAAATTATTTGGAAAAAATCGAAATAAAAATGAAACTTCTACACCCTGTATCTCCGAAACTAAGCATTTTAGGACATACATTTATTCGAACTTTTCTGCTTATTTTTGCTTGCAGAATATGTTACCGAAGTTTCCCGAATGCAATTCGGACAATCCTGCATAAACCCATCCGTATCCATAGTTAAATTAAAAAATATTAGAAGTCATCTTCTCTCACAATCTTCCCTGAATCGTTCAAACAGAGTATATAATAAAGGATGATAAAAACGATTTATATTTCTGCTTGTTTCGAGGTGATATTTCGGTGTAGTCTTCAGCGTGCCGTCGTACAGGTGTTCCGAACTGGTCCACCGTTCCGACGTCACAATTACACATTAAAAATAGTTTAATTTGGCACAAATATCTCTGTTATTTCGGCTGGTGTTCGCTTTAGTGTCCGAGATTAGCGCGTCGAAGCCACAACAACAAACCGTCCGAATCCAACTTTCGATTTTTGAAATTTTTTAAAAAAAATCCGAATTTTTTTTTCGAAAAAATTATTACGGGAAGTTCGGTGAAAACCGGGATTTCTTTGAAGAAATTGTGTCGATAAGTGTAAAAAGGATTTGAATAATTTTCACGAACTTTCGATTTTTGAAAAAATTTTCACATTTTATTTCCGAAATTTTTTTTTTCGAAAAATTGTTGCGCGAACTTAAAATTGTGATTTTTTCTGGAGGAAAGTGCAGGAATATTGTATAAAGGATTTGACTAAGTTACAGTAGGTGTCTCTAATAATTGTGTAGATTTGATAGTGCCTTAAGTCAAGCATTTTGATTTAATTGAAATATTACTATGTGATGTGGCGTTGCAATTTTTACTGATTTTTTCCCATTTTTAACTAAAAATCGTTACATCAGGCTCATATATCGTAAAGTATTTTTGACAGTTTAAAAGAACTTTTTTGTTTGTAAATTCATTCCAAGAATTATGATTAAGTATTTTTTTTCCATAGCAACTGTTAAAATAGTAGATAAAATAGTACTTTAACCTCAAGGGTAGATTAAATGATACTTTAACAGCGAGGATAGGTTAAAAACTTTATTTCTTCTCGCACGTTTTTTAATTGCTTCCATTTTTGAAAATTTTTGTATTCCTTTTCATAAGTTATTCGGGATTTAAATGGAAGTAGCTTGGATATGGCGTTTGTCGCCTCAGCCTGAATATCTATTGGTAATTTACTTATTTCGTTTTGAGCCATTTCTGGCTCCAGTTCAATCAGCAATCGACACGGATGAGAATTAAAAAATATTGACTCAAAACTGACAACTAAAGAGACAGCTTTATTTATTTGTCAAATTACATAGAAACCAACGCTAACCCAGCACAATATTTTTTCTACTCCTAATAAATTCCTTGAAATAATAATTTCTGAATATTTTTTAAAACGTAACTCGCTATGGAAAAAAGTATTGTTTTATACACGACGATAAAATTGCATTATCGCCTCCCGAAATTAATTCATTCGCGAATTAATCTTTACTGTCGACGATAAAATACCATTTTATCGTCTTGTATAAAAAATAACTGTTATATATTTCTTTTATAGTTTGGAGGAAGCACTGCATTTATCAACTATAGCATTTTGTTTTAGTGAAGCTGAAAAGAAAACAAAAACATAAAATTTTACTACAAACTTTTATTTTTGGTATAAATTTCCTCTGTAAACACACAAAGCTAATTATCAAAAAATAGTATTTGGTTGATATATAATAATTATTAAACCTCTATAAACATTTTTTTAAAATTACATTACTTTGTGAGACTATGCAAAAATATTAGATTTTTAAATGTCGCTTATTCATATTATTTTTTTGTAAATTTACTTATACTGGGCGTCCAAGAAATAAACACAGAAGAGTGTTAAGGGGTGGTTTGGTTCTCGATAAAAGAATCATATCTTCTCTTCACCGTTTTTCAAATAAATCCAAAATAATCGAGTTTACCTACTAGTACTTTGAAAATTTCCAAAAAACGCATTTTTTGTTTAAGTTTTGAGAACCATGGGATCTTTTCTGAGCTTTCTTTCTTGTAAATTTAATCTACGACCTATGTTGCCATATTATCATGAAATTATTTTGTTAGTTTTTTAACTAAAAAAAATCCAAATTTTTTTTTCAAAAAAATTCAAATTTTGTAAACATTTTTTTTGCAGAAAACTCATAATCGTGTTTCTGGGGTCGAAATATACCACCTCTAAAAATATTTGCACTTACTTAAGACTCACCCTGTATATATAAATATTTCAAATTTTTTTTTAACAAAAGGAAAGTATATTTAGTGTGCTTAAATGTAGTCATTATTTTTTTTGGATAAACAGAAAATATACTATATTATGAAACTTATATAAAAACATTTTTTAACTATAAATTTTTATAATAAAGTCTGTAGAAAGTTAAAAAAAGTGATTTAAAGCAATGATTATTTAATTTTTTTTTTATATATATTTTATTTGTATTTGGGATTGTGACAAATTGAATGAAATAAAATATAAGAGAATAAAAATTGTATCAATTATATATTTACATTGCAAACGTAACAATAACAAACGTATTTTTTCAAAGACTCTTACAAAATAGAAAAGGATGTTTTTGAATGGAAACTGTTTTTCTTTTTGTATATTTTTTTCAAGCTATATATAGTAAATTGACAAAAATTAGGGTTAAATTGCCAATAACAGCCATGTGTTCAGTGAATGGAATAAAAAGAAAATTGTATACCTATAGGTAGAATATTTTAAAGGCTTCTTTTTTAAATTTTCAGTTTTTTATAATGCAATTTTCTATAAATACCCAGTTAAAATATAAAAAAAAATGTTAAAAATATGAAATAAAATTGCGCAAAACAGAGAATATGTGTTTCAATATACATATTATATTTCTTTTGTAAAACAAACATTTTTAGTTAACTCAGCATATTTTTTGCTCAAAATATTATCTAGATGAATGTGTAAAAAATAATTCTTTCAACAGCTTTAAAAGAAAGCGTGGAACTTAAACATGTGATCAATTAAAATGTTTTTCTGTAGTTGAGCGATTTACTACATATTCTATTTTAGTTTTTTTTCACTTGAAATCACTTAATTTTTCCGAAAACCAAAAATAATATGAATAACATTCTGGATACTCATTTTTTTTATTAATCATAATAATAACATTGTTAGTTATAGACATTTTCGCTTAAAAAATAGTATTTTAAATTTCAATCTAGATGAGTGTCATGGCTGTGTCAAAATCACTAATTTTTAATCAAGGAGCCTTAGAAAAATACATTTGATAGTCTAAACGATGCCCATATGGTATTTTTAATTATAACTCATTTTTTTTTCAAATGGAAGGATGGTGGCTTATTAGAATATTTAGAGAAAGCATTTTTTAACGAATAATTTGGTATCACATACCTCATATTTCCAGGCAAATTGTTCTTATGAACACAACCACAGTACTCTAGATTGAAATTTAAATTTCTATTTTTTAAGCGGAAATGTCAAAATTTGACATTTGATATGTCATTCTATTCAGAAAGTCATTTTCTATCAAGTAAAGAAAAAAAAATACCGATGGTACCATTTAAAAATCAAAAGTTGTAGTGATTTCCGTTGAAACAGGAAGTGACCAAAAACAATTGAATACGGATCAATCAATCAATCCTTCATATACTGATAATACCAAATTTCGGTTTTTTTTGCCCGAAAAATAAAAAAGTTATAAGGGTGAACCACTTTAAAACTATGTAAACTTTAAAAGGGTATATTTCTGTGTTTGTTTTATGATAAAAAAATAATTTTTCTTTATTTTTTTCATTATTGCCTGACGGGGATTTGCGAAAATAATTCAGCGTACCAAGCTAGTAGCAAGCTGACTTTGACGCAAAAGTTAAAACATGTGGTCAATTAAGATGTTTGTGTATACTTAAACGGTTTTCCTAGTCTATTTTTATTGCTGTTTCTAGAAGTTATAACTCTTTTTAAAGTTCGTTATTAAAAGAACATAAAATACTTCTATAATTTAAAATTTTTACCAATATTTTAGAAGGATAGATTCCTATTCAGAGACAAAAACAAAAAAATCAGATGAAATTTAATTATAAATGATAATTTTTGTTTTTATTTCACTTGTCAAGGATCGGTTTAGGCTACTTTTTCAGGTGGTTTTAAGAATGAACATTTATATTTCCAAAATAAATTGAAAATGTACCTAATATAAAAACTAAACAGATTGTTTCAAAATAGATTTCGAAATTCTCTAAATTGTTATATCAAAACGACCCTCATTTTTAGCAAGGAATCACCACTTAAAGTTTTTCGCACTTGTTTTAAACCACACTGTATATATTTCCTGACGATATTTTAGTTAGGTAAGGTTAGCACAATGTATGCCCATAAAATCGTCAACATTTCAACGAAAATCTTAAAATATTGTAGCAATAAATTAGCAGAGACAAAACAACGGCTTAAAATATCTGAAAATAAATGTAAATCCTTTGGTGAATTTCTCTGTAAAGGCCTGTTCACATATGTCAGTCGGGTCTCACTACCGACCCGTTAAACAGTCTCAGTTACAACAAAAAATATATCGTTGAGTTTAATTATAATGAAGATGAACACACACACGTCCGACACTGTCACCGAGAGTTGCTGAAAACAGCTTTGGGGATATTGCGTCGTCCTGTAGTATTCTTTTGCCAGTTGTAAATTCTGGGGTTGTTTTATATATCATTTTTCTAGCTTTGAATTCTTTGTATATCTCTTTAAAATAACACATTCACTGGTTCAGTGCGTAATTGCTAGCATTACCTAGTGAATGTTAACAATTACTGAATGTCCGTAACATATATACAGTAAATTCAACCCCAAGATGCACCAAACGTAAACAGAGACATGAGGCAAGCACGTGAACAGGAACGCTGTAGTAATATAACCAGGACCGCACTAAGGTCGGATATTTCAAATCATAAAATTATTATGTATATTTTTATAATTTTTTAATATTGTTTATATTTTATGATGGAAATTTATATTATATAAATGGGTAATTATTGAATTGAATTGATACGAATCTGATCAAACCTAACCAACTAGCGGTCTCTTACTGTTTTTCAGAAAAACGGAAAATAATTTCAACATTGAATTTTTCTTTATTTCAGCTCTATAAAGTTAGTAATAATTTCACTATATTTTTATTATATCATAGTTTATCTAAAAGCCACACTTGATTGAGGATTGAAAAATGTTCAAAATTTTACTGAAAAACACTTTTCTTAACAAAATCACTAAGAAAATTGAGACCAGATGAAAGTTTGACATTTCATATATTCTTCTTTCTCTCTCCTATGTAATGAGAGAGACAACTATTTGAATTTTTTCGGGTGATTAGGGATTTTAAATAAATTACCTATTATGAGATTTGACAATAGTTAAATATACCTATATCCACAAAGTTACGCGGAAGAATTATAATTACATTGCTTTCACCTTCTATGCTTAGGGGGTTGATATTTTTATGTTATATTATATTAAAAAAAGATTAAACCCTTTCGCAAAGAAGTTATATAAATACTATTTATAAGCACGAAGTTGCATGAAAGAATTTTGATTGCATTGGTTTCAACTTCTTTGCGGAGGGGGTTAATCTTTTTTTTATATAATATAACAAAAAAAGATTAACACCCTCCGCATAGAAGTTGTGGCAAACCAAACAAAAATGACCTAACCAAACCAAACAAAACTCTTTCGTGCCACTTCGTGGTTATAAATAGTCAGATCTCGTTGGTAAAATAGCAGTTATGGGAAGGAGCCGTTCCTCAGGCAACCGCCTTTCGTAATCTCAGAATGAGCGAAAAAAACACGCTAAATTTACGTTCAGCATTGGCGACGTTGCTTTAAATGCCAGAAACACATAACCCAACATTTTTAGATTGTTTACAAATTTATTTTAGCAAATTTTCCTCTATTATGCATAGAATTGGTTAAAGAAGTAACAGAAAATAGCAAAGACCTTATTGTTTATTGAATACCTAACAAAATATGTGCGAGAAAACCTTAAAAATATGAGAAATTAAGTAAAATTCTATGTTGAAACTATTTTCCGTTTTTCTGAAAAACGGTAATAGACCGCCAGGAAAAATGTTCAGATTCGTAATCTACGATCTCAAAATAGGGTGTATACCAATTTTGGTGAAAATCGGACGCGATTTCCAGTTTTCTCAATAATTACCTTTAATTATTATCAAACTACATATATAATTAGAGAAATAAAGTGATGGGAAGGGGACGGGAATATTAAAATATTACATTACTCTTTGGCACGACCGATTTTAACAAATTTGGTGTTTTTTAAAAGGGCTTAATTTGTCCTTTAAAATAATTATCTTTTTATTTGGTACTACTGATTTTTTTATTTCAATTATTGACAGCAATATCTGAACATCGGTATAAATAGGTATCTGTTTCTAAAATACTGTTTGTAAAAAATGCAATGATGTAAAGGTTTTTACATCATTTAAAAGACCAATTGCATTATAACATAATTTAATACATTTTAGTTGACAAAAAAGCACTTAGTTTTAACTTGCTTTCGTAGCCTGCTGTATTATCCGTTTTAAAGTATAACGACATTTTTTTGAAAAACTAGTCAAATAAAAACTTCTATTTTTAAACATAACATTTATTAACATTAGATTTACAAAATTTATAGTTTTATTAACATTTAATAATAATTTTATATAAAATATATAACTTTTGACTTTTTGTAGTAGGTACGTGTGTACTAAATTGTAAAAATATTTTATGCAAACATAAATAATATTTTCTCTATTTGTAACTTGTAACTTGTACGAAGTGATCAACAATTATTATTGAAATAGTTGACCGTTCTGATTTTACTCGCTTGGTTGGGAATAAATTTAAAAAGCATTTTTATTTTATCAAAGAGTATTCCTTAACGCGCTATGCAAGCCGACCCTGTAAAAAATCTCAACCGCCTACGTCAACGGCTCTATGGCTGGCCGGCCAATCAGGGTAGATTTCGCCGCTGGCTCTCGCCTGACACGTGCTGATCACGCACTGTGCATTTGTTTATATTGGTGCATTTTGAATTTGAATACAGTTTAGGTAATATGTGATCCACTCTGCTGAAAAGCCGCTTCTAAAGGCTGCTTATTCTTGTGGTTTTGCAGCATCTAATATGAGACGTGTCTGACACATGTGAACAGACCTTAAGCTTTAACGCTTTTACGACAATGATTCTACTACAAGAAAAAAAAGCGATGTTCGGTTCGAGTCATCCAAAAGTAATTTACGTCAAAAATACCAAAAGCGCTAAATTTAGAAATCGCATGTTATCAAACAATTACCGTGCTCCTGAAAAATAAGCTTTCAAAAAGTTTTTTGGCTCGCTCTGAACGCATTAAAAGTTCGATAAACAACTATCTACCTTTGTTATTGTTCGATATTCGATGATTGTTGTTCGGAAGTATAAAAGAAATAACTCTAATTGGTCTAAAAATACTTTAACCAAATAATGTTGGAAGATTTCTTGACGCTTGGCACTATTTCTACCGTTAGAGACACCTGTTTGTCGATTTGTTTCAATTAATTAGGAATGTTCGAGCTATATCGATGTATTGAAAGAGTTATCGATACTTTTAGAGTTATATTGATTACTAATGACTAAGTATATCAACACAGGGCAGATTATAATAAAAAACTTAGGAATTTTGTTTAAGGGAGGTCTTAAAGTATGTATTTTAGGAAAATATTTTAACTTCTACAGGGTGGCTCAAAAAAGTGTTAGTGGATCCGGATGATTTTTTTAAATGGAACACTTTTTAAAAAAAATTAGCTTTTTTTTTAAAAAATATTAAAAATACAAGAAATGTCCTGAAAACAAAAATATACTAGGTATTTACTATAGTTGGTCTGTACTTACTTTCTTATAAATATCGTAATCTTAAACCATACAGGGTGTTCAAAATTCTATGCCAAACTTTCTAAAATATAAAATAGTGTTTTTCCGTTTTTTTTAAATGGCCAACATTCTGTATAATATTCCTCTTCTATTAGATGGAAAATTAAAAAACGAACATTTTTTTTATTTAAAGTATTTCAAAATTTTGAATGGTTTTGCGAATATTCATAATATGGTATTACATATGGATTTGTCAATTGTTCATCAAAGCTACCTAATAATTTTTTTCTGTTATTTTACAGTTGAAAGAAAATAATATAGAGGGTGTTCCATTTAAAAAAAGGAAGAAAATTTATTTTATATTTTAGAAAGGTTGGCATAGAATTTTGACAACCCGGTATGGATTAAGATTATGATATTTATAGAAAAGAAAATACAAACCAAACTATAGTAAATACCTAGTATAGTTTTCATTTCAGGACATTTCTTGTATTTTTAATAATTTTTTGAAAAAAAGGCTTTAAAATATATATATAATTTTTATTTATTTATTAATATCTATGAAACTATCAAAACGTATTTAAAAATATTTTAAGATCAGGTAAAGTGATCAGAAAGGAAGTCAAAAATGCAATAATATACAGGGTGTTTCATTTAAAAAAAATCAACGCGATCCTCTCACACTTTTTTGAGCCACCCTATAGGAGATAAAATATTTTCCTGAGATACATCCTAATACGTACATTAGATCTACAATTAAACAAAATTTCTTAGTTTTTTATTATAGGTGCTACAGATGACCGACGCACTTTCGCCGGACCCTGTATATTCAATCTAAAATATTTAGAATTGCCTGTGAATTGTCTGTGAATCTGAATGAGATCTCTCTAAAAAACGCGTTATGCAAAAACCCTGTACAGGGTGGGTCAATTCGACGCTTTTAAATGGAAACTCCCTATTCTATAGGAGATAAACGAAAACTAATATCGGTGTCTGGAGCTCAATTTTTGTCAAAAACATGATGGTGAAAACCGCATATCGATATCTGTTACAGTTTCGGAGTTACGGGGTGTTTTTCAAAAATATGCATTTTTAACAAATCGCTGTAACTTTTTTCCCATTGAAAATTTTGTTTTTTTATGAAAACATTTCCAAAGCACCTTTTTACAAAGAATTTAATGGTTTAAGTATAATTTTTTTACAATTAATAATTTAAGAATTATCAACAGAAAATTTGATTTTTTGTATGAGATACCCTGTATATTTTTAATTTATTGAAAAACATTTAAAATTACCTTTCCAAAAATATAACACACTTGATATTTTGTTCGATTCCTCTTCGAGATATAGAGTATATAAAAATTCGCCCGCTTTAAATAAGTCGGCTTTGAACGGCACCGGCTGTAATGCAAAAAAAATCAATTAAAACGAAAATAATATTTGCTATGAGAGATGCAGAATTTTATAACAATTTAAAATATATTTAACTAACATCAACACATTTAAACTATGTATATCTAATAACAATAAAAATAAATAGCAAACCAAGACATGAGATTTTGCTACAGGTGTTCGACATATCGACCGTCTTCTGTTATGGACAGACGGGGCAGTTTTTGAACATTTTTCGCGGAATTCATTAACTCATTGGGGGTGAAAGATACCCTCTCATAACTGCTAAGTATTTCTAATTCTTGTCTAGATTATACGGAAGAATAAGAAACCTTTATTCTTCCGCAAATATATCCAAAGGGTTATATCCATGGGCACTAAGTCAGGCGGCTTCGATGGCCAACGGCTGGGATCTTGGTTAGCTGTTCAATTATTCTTGAAATTGGCTGCAAAAATTGGCTGATAACTTCAGCGTTCAGAGGCGGTGCGTCGTCGGCTTGTTGGAAAAATATGTTTTCGAGTTCCATTAAGGGCATATCATCAATAAGGGGTCCAAAGCCTACTAGTTAAAAGAGGCAAACTTTTAAAAATGCTGTATTTCGAAGGGGATTATAACAAAATATCAAGTGTGCTATATTTTTGGAAGGGTAATTTTAAATTCTTTTCAGTTAATTAAAAATATAGAGGGTGTCCCAAATAAAAAATCAATTTTTCTGTTGATAACTCTTAAATTATTAATTTTAAAAAAAGTATACTTAAACGATTAAATTCTACGTAAAAAGGTGCTTTGGAAATGTTTTCATAGAAATACAAAATTTTCCATAGCAAAAAAGTAACAGCGATTTGTTAAAAATGCACATTTTTGAAAAACACCCCGTAACTCCGAAACGGTAACATATATTGATGTGCGGTTTTCACCATCATGTTTTTGATAAAAATTGAGCTCCAGACACCGATATTAGTTTTCGTCTATCTCCTATAGAAAAGGGTGTTTCCATTTAAAAGCATCGAATTTGACCCACCCTGTACATGCTACATTGAAAAACTCGCATTGCATTTCAGGCATTTCATTAGTGGAAAAGAGATACTGAAATACTCTGTATAATAGCCAATATTATCGAAATATATTAATATATTGATTAGCAAATTATGAAAAATAATTTTCTCTGATATAAAACATAGATATACAAAATATCGATGTTTTTAAGTGATGAACATTCCTACAATTAATTCGTCGTCCAGTGTTTAATACGCAAAATCCTCCAAACAGTGATCACCGTCGAAAATAATCCCCACCCGCCATAAAATAAGTGTTTCTCACCTTTAGTATTTCGATTGATTGGCAACGCCCCCAAAATGCCTTACTATTCTGAACTGGGAATCTACACGCCGAGCAGTACGTACACAGCGCCTCTGTTCAAAGGACCTTACTCCAATCACTCCTCTATAATCGCATCGAACATACTTCCCTTCTCCAAACAACTCCACCGTACCAACTTCAGAGGCTACAAACCTCATCTCACCACCATCAGCGAGGCTAATATCGCGCCTTTGAGGAGAATCAGTTCGCCTAAAGTCATCTATCACAGTTCTCCGAAAGTTAGAGTTCAAAGACCGATAAAGATCAACACAGCTGACATAGATGTCTCAGTGAACAAGTACCGGAACTACAAGGAACCAGAAAAAAAGTCTCCAAGCCCGAAAAAAGAAATAGTAAGTGAAGAGAAAGAAGCTAAACCTAATACTAACATCAAACGTGATAGGGCTACCATCAGGCTCCAAACAATCCATAAAGATGCTTTAGAGAAAGAAATAGGAGCTATAAGAAGCTGGAGGGATAACTTTAAACCTGAGGAACTGGTTACTGAAGCTAAAGTTAAAAGAAAATCGCCAGGTGAAATCTTAAAAGAAAAATTCTTAATCAGAAGCAAAAGCAAAGATAATATCTCAAATCTAACCCCACCAAAACTAAACAGAAGAAACTCCGTAAGGAAGAGCCCTAGTTTCAAAGATATTTGCGATGAAATCACTTCAAACGAGGTAACAGACGATTTGAATCCTGGACAACCCATTAATATCAGAAGACGACAAAGCAGGCAACTGTCCCATGACGATTTAATCAATGAAATCAAAAGAAGTTCCTCAACTCTAAGTGTTGAAGAAGTGGAGTTACTTGACGCACTTCTCCAGGCAGAAAATGAAGTGGGACTGTATAATTCTCCTCCGGTGATTGAAGAGAAAGTTAAAGGTGTCAAGAAGAAGAAAGTGACCAGAAAAAAGACTGATGACCTTATTAAAAAGACTGAAAAAGAAGAAAGTGGTACAGAGGAAGATATATCAGTTAAATCCCGATCGATAGCTAGTAGACAATCTTTGAAAAAATCATCGAGTGAAATAAGCATTCCTGAGACATCAAACAAACCAGTTTCAAGATTGAGAAAGGACAGTTCTTTGCAAAATATGATTAAAGACATATCGCAGGTCGAAATAGAGATGATACCGGTCAAACAAAAACCGGTTATAACTGGTTCTGTAGGAGACATCGAGGAGAAGACCACCAACAACTTGAAACTGGTTGTCGAGGACTACGAGATACAGGAAAGTCCCAAACGTGCCAAAAAAGAGAAGAAATTTAGATTTAACGTAACTGTCCAGGAGTTTCCGGTTAAAAAGAAGATTACTGTGCCTAAATGTAACTTAAAAGACAGTGACTTTGGTGTTGTTCAATTATCTACTCCTAAAACACCTGTAGTTACAAGTATTTTAAAGAAAAAAGAAGATAAACAGGTTGGTAATGTCGCTGGCGACGGTAAAATCTTTAAGAAAAAAGAACCTCCTCCTGTAGATGATACTGAAATGAAACAAAAATTACTGAAAAGCTTGTCAGAGGTGCAAGTTAGAACCAAGGAGGACAATACTGTACAGAAATCGGGTAGCAACGAAAACATGTGCAGTACTTTTACGGTTTTAGTTAATAAATCAAAGAGTGATAACAGTGTTGCTGATGGTAGCAGCAGAACAAGCAGCGGAAAGTTAAAAATAGTGTCGATAGAAAAAAATCTAGACCAAAAAGACCCTTCTCCTAAAACTAAAACGGAATCTCTTTTAAAAAGTGCTAAAAGTGATTTAAAAGAAAACACCTTTCTATCTAAATCTGATCTAGGTCCCAAGAGGAATGTTTCAGCTTTAGCTCAAAGGTTTAAGAAAAACACCACCGAAGATTCACCACCAAAACAATCTAGTTTGAAAAGTAAAAAATTAGAAGAGCAAAAAGAAATAAAAAAGGACGATGTAGTTAAGAAGGATGAAAATGAGAATGTTGTTAGTAATGAAGAACCTGAAAATATCTGGAATAGTCGAGATAATGAACCTTATGAACCACCGAAACTGACTAAACTAAATCTGGGCTTGAAGGATCCAAGAGAAATCATTGAGGAACTTCAGGAGAACCAGCCAGAAACTCCAGAAGAACGTCAGATGAGAATCATGTCCAAACGTTCCTTAATAGAAAAAGCCAACAAATCTGATCCAGACTTGAAAGTTTTTGAACCACCAACCCCTCCACCACCCGAACCAGAAAAAGAACCTTCCCCAGAACCTTCCTTTGTTCCCCTAAAGTCAAACAGACTGTCCCAGTGGATGCATCCGTTTAAAAAACCCGATCAAAACGAGGATGGTTCTTTGGAACTGTACGCGAAGCCTAAGTTTATTCGCGCGCGTCATATACCGCGTCGCTGGCAACAGCAAAACGTCGAAAGTAATAGTGAGGGTAGTACGACCAGTGATGATGACGATGACAGTTCTAGTGATGGTAGTGATGAGGATGATGACGATGTTGATGAAGAAGACGGCGAAGAAGAGGAAGAGGGAGATGTTGGAGGTGAAAGTAAAGTGGGAGCTAGTACGTCGAGTAATGATTCTGGATTTGATTCGGGAAGAGCGAAAAATAAGGGTTAGTATCTGATTTTTAAAATGCTTGTTGTTTGTTTTAGATATTATATACTGTAGGTCCCAGGATTGTCTTTACAAGAGGAAACTTTTTTATTATTGGCATTTTGAGGAATTTTGCCAAATTTCCATACCGTTTTAAAAAAAAACTAAAAAAAAACATGAAAATATTATTTCTTTGCCAGATTGTTATTGATAGAACTTTAATTAATGTCATATTTTTTGCTGTTGTAAAATGTTAAAGAACTACAACATTTAATAAGTTCAGTGCTATGGAAAGGGTGATAATAGTTATCGGAGGATGTGTTACTTTACTACTTTTTTTTGTTTTTAGCAAAAAAATATGACCTTAATCAAAATAATAACCATAATAACCATCTATCAAACAATGAAATCGAAATTATATTACTGGCTTTTGATTATTAGGACTAAAAAATTCAACTATATTTTCTTGTTTTTTTTATTTTTCTCTAAAACTTTATGGAAATTTGGAAAAGTATAAACGGGATTAGCTATTTTAGAATAAGCAAACATTTTTAAAAAGTATTTCTTCTTGTAAAGATAATCCGGAGACATAGTGTAGAATACTTTTATGTTTGTTTTAACCAAAGTGTAAAATGAACTACACTATAATAGAGGTAAAAGTAATTTATACAGGGTGGTCCCAATTGTATTAGAGAAGCTTCGGCAGAGCATATTCTGCAGATAAAAATGAGTAAAGAGGTCGTATAAATTTATTTTTTTAGGTCGATTTTTTCCAAATAATTTTTGAACTAACTTCGATGTTTGGATGAAAATTTAGGCCTGGGTGTTTTTTGACACGAGGAATTTGGGATTTTGATGTCAATAAGACTCCTAGTTGTATGGGGCGACTCCTATAGATTTTTTAACTGTTTTGAAGAGTACGTTTTTTACGTCAAAAAAGTCTCTTTGTAAAAATCGCTACGAAGTTATGGTTTTAAAAACATTGTTTCTCAAAATTTAAGCCAAAATAATTTATTTTTAAATTTTTGAAGTTAAATAACTCGGTTATATTGAACTTATTTGAAAAACGGTAAAGGGGAAATATGTTTCTTTTATCGAGATCTACCAGCTCTGTGTGAAATATTTGCACTTATTTAATACTCATCCTGTACAATGTGGGAACGTTACGCGTTGTGAAACAACCAATTATGAAAATCTCTTAGAATTTTTACTTTTTATTATTAGATACTTATTCTGTATTCTTCTTCTCCCTGTGCCTTGTGCTAAGCCGCACGTTGGCGATTGTCTGTACTCTTCATACAATGTGTAGAGTGCCGTTTTCGGCTATTCGAAATATGGTGGCTGCGTCGTTGATGTTACACCGATCCCGTATGTTTCTTAGCCAGGAATGTTGTTTTCTTCCTGGGCCTCGCCGTCCCTCTATTTTTCATTGTAGAATCAGTTTAGGAATGTAATATTTGTCTCCTCTAAGGATATGGCCGAGGTATGAGACTTTCTTTTCTTTAACTATATTAAGCATTTCTCGTTCATAGCCTGCAGTTCTTAAAACTTCTTCGTTGGTGGCATGTGCGGTCCGTGGCACACGTAAGAGTCTCCGGAGAGTCCACATTTCGAAAGCCTCGATGCGGTTCAGGGTTCTAGCCTTGAGAGACCAGGTCTCTGCGCCGTATAGTAAGATGGGCCATATGTAGCATTTTACTACCCGTAGTCTAAGTGTTAGCGGGAGACTGCGTGCTAATAGGAAGTTTTTAAGTTTAAAAAATGTCGACTTTGCATAATTCGTTCTAAGTTTAACTTCCTCATCGCAGTCCCATCGTTCATTGATAATGGCACCCAGATGTTTATATCGTGGAACTCGCTCTATAATATTTCCATCCACGGTCAATGCGGTGTTGATTGTAGGCTGGCGTCCTATTACCATAAGTTTGGTCTTGGCAGCGTTGATTTTAAGACCGAAACTATTTCCCATGTCCCCTATTTTATTTATTATTTGCTGGAGATCCTCTAAAGTTGGTGCTAGTATTGCCGTATCATCTGCCGTATCATTCTGTATTGCCGTATCATTATGTATAACCTTATCTATTTTTATAACAAATATACTATTTTTTAACAATTTTAATAACTAATAAATTTATTTGACAACGTCAAAACAAAACAGACAAATTATTGAGACTATACCTTACATTATATCTAATACGTTTTAAATAAAATTAGAAGAGCACTGATAAACCGGAAACTAAGACTAGTCCCCATCGCACTCCAACTAAGTTTGTTGTTATATTCCTACCTTAATCTTTCTATTTAAAGTTTACACTCAATATAAATCTAATTTAAGAACACTGCTATAACAAAAATAGCCAATTTTCTACTAGAAGCTATCCGACTGTAGGAATCTAAATAGTAAATGGACAAGTCATATGATTACTACGTCTATACCTACGTCTTTATTGTTTCTCTATGTAGACTATTTAAAACTGCATCGACAGTGGTGATTGATAAATGATAAACAATCTTACGTACTGAAAGGTGGAAAAACAAATTTTCATGTGAACGTTTACGTCTATGCATTTTTAACTTTTGATCTTTTAAAACGTTTTAGTAGTATCTATTATGGCGATAGTACATCTGGTTGAAAGGATAAACCAAATTATAGTAGCAAAGTATTCTGAGTAGGTCATATAGGTCATGACTGGTAGTTTTCTTCTTTAGATAAAGTGGCATTCTAGATTTGAACATGATTGAGTTTCTTCCATAGGTAATCCATATATCTACTCCAGGGTTGTCGCAACTAACGTCGCATCCCCACGCCTAACCGCCACATGTTACGATCAAGAACATCTTCCTGTTTCAAGTTACAGTCCTCCATTGCTCTTCTGATGGCCTCATTCCAGGATCTTCTAGGCTGTCCTCTTTTCCTTTTTCCAGGAGGTGACCAGCTGTAGATACGGTAGGGCCATTTTTGGTGTTCCATGCGTAGCAAGTGTCGGAACCACTTAAGGCCCCTCTGTTCGACTCTATCCACTATTGTCTGTATGGCATCCATTTTGGCTCTGATTTTCACTTTCCTAACTCTGTCCAGTTTAGATACTCTCGCACTGTGTCTCAAATAGTCCATTTCGAGTGCATTTAAAGCTCACTTTTGTCCAGCTTTTAAGGTTCAAACTTCACACCCATAAGTTACTACCGACTCCACTAGGGCTCTTCCAATATATACTTTTGTGTTTGGTCTTATGTTTTTGTCCCACCAGATGCCATTCAGTGCTCCTATAATCTTCCGCCCTTGTTCTATTCTAGCAGATACTTCTGTTTTGTCTAGTCCCTTTCTGGTTATACGTGCCCCCAAATATTTAAACCATTCAACCTGTCTGAGCTTTGCATTGTCAGTAACAAAAAGGTCAAATTTATCATCTGAATTGGTCACTAGGTATTCCGTTTTATCAATATTCACAGTAAGACCCCATTCCGTGTATGCCGAATTTAATCTGCTCATCACGAATTCAAGGTCGTAAGCATCTTGAGCTATGACCACCTGATCATCGGCAAAATTCAATGTAACCAAACAGTCATCAGAACCACTTCCAAATACAGATTAAATAAAAGAAGCGACAGAGGGCATCCCTGTTGAAGGCCTTTAGTTGTAAAAATTACCTCAGACAGTTTGTTACCGCTCTTAACACGAGCTGTGTTGTTGTACAGCACCTTAATTAAATTTATGAGACATTCATCTACATCAAGTTGTTCCAATATGTACCATAGTTTAACTCTGGGGATGGAGTCGTAAGTTTTTTGAAGATCTACAAAAGCTAGATGTGTATCTCCTTCACGTGAATTCCGTTTTTCTATCAGTTGTTGGATAGTAAATAAATTATCTATACATGAACGCCCTGCAGTAAAGCCACTTTGCTCTTTACCGATTTTGGTGTAAGTAATCCATGCTAACTTAATTCTTCTGTTGATTTCTGGTAGTAGAGATCCCGAGCTGTCTATTAGTTATCCCAAATAATATACATTTTTCTACTATTTCCGCTCTTGTGTTATTGATTAGAATGTATTTTCTTTCCACTAGTTTATTGTACATAATTTAGTTCTTGCTAAGTTCATTTTGAGGCCCTCTTTATTGCTGTCTGTATTTAGTTCATTAATTGGTCTAGTCCAGCTGACGGAAGATTTCTTCGTAATTTTTTCCGTTTTTATATGAGCGATATAAATGAAATAAAAAAACTGAAAATATTGTCTAACATCACAGAACGAAATAATTCGATGCCCGTGATTCACGATCGCCAAAGCATTTTATTTTAAAGCACCGTGTATACGTGGGCAAGGCTAAAACCGATGCCAACCGTGATTTATCTCTACAATGGTAAATTAGCCGAATGTCAGGGAATAACTGCGCGTGAAAAGTTGTGTCTCTTTTAAAAATAGACACTTTCTCTGCACGGCAGTAGTACAGGAAAAAAGTTTCGCATTTTTTGAAGGTGTTTCGCGAATGTTTCAACGTGTCTGACAGATTTAGGCTCAGTGTTTTTGTTTCTTTAGAGGACGTTAACTTCTAGCTAATTTTTTTATTCTTCAACATAAAATATATTTTTTTCTTCATATTTTAGTTAATTTAAGTTATATATACATAAGGGTTGCAACGTTTTTCGTCTTCCGATTCCATCTACTTCCAAACCTCTGTACAAGACTTCTTTATCGATACCCTCTCTCCAGCTCTTGCGTGGTTTTCCCCTTTTTCTTCAATCTTGAGGGTTCCAATTTAATATTTTATTTGGGATTCGATGTTCTTTCATTCTTTATAAATCTCCATACAATATTAATTGCTGAGTTCTAATGTCATCTACAATGTCCTGTTTTAGTTCCATTTGGCGTCTTATGGTTTTATTTGGTATTTTATCTTTTCTGGATTTTCCAGCTGATCTTCTCCAAAAGTCCATCTCTGTGGCTTTTAGCGTACTTCCAGCTTTCTCTTTTAAGGGCCATACTTCAGAGTTGTAGGTAATTATACTTTTTACGATGGAA